TTTTTTGGTTTATGTTAATATTTAAAAATTAGACTCAATATCTTAACCACAATATTTTATACATAAGCCAGGAAAAGTATCTTTGTGAATTGAAAATAAAAGAGTAGATGAAACCAAGTATCCAAATAAAAAAGTAGATGGAACCAAATGTCCAAGTGTCTAGGGACTTACAAAAACTAGTGTGCATATGTGAGATACTAGGAAAGGAAGGATTGAAATTATAGGTCATTCATTTGGATCACCATCAAAGACCCAACTAGATAAGACCAGCTGGAAGCCAATTTATGTCTATAAATACATAAAATAGAGTATAAATGGAATAATATGTAACATGAGGTACGAACGAACCGTTACTATTAACATCAAGACATGTTCTAATGCATCAAAGTTCTTAGTAGTCTAAGCTTATGCAAAACAATTTTTTTTGCTTTGCTTTTGTTTTCTCTTGTTTTAGTGTTTGTTCGTTAATACACAGGAAAACAAAAAATCAGTACATTAAGTTTTGATGGCCAACAAAGAAGGCAAAAATGAAACAGAAACTTGAATTCAGCATTGATTATGTAAAATAAAGTTTCTCGGGTCACCTTTATTTTGCGAACTGCTTTCTCACAATTTTCTTTATACCATCGTAGATTTCTGAGACCCCAATGTGCTTGAGTTGAGACCTCCTTCTGGAGTCTTCCTGTTGTTGGTTTGCCTGTATAGAATAAGTATTTCCAAATGCAGGCCAGTTTTCTTTTAAAACTGTAGCAGATTGCTGAAGTTCACTCATTCACACATTCATCCGTTTATTCATTTAACTGGTACCTTGTGCTGGGTACAGGGGTAGCCAATAAAGATAAAAGATAAGCATGGCCTCAAACCTCAGTAAGCTCATGGTCTTGTAAAATAAACAAGAATGTAAACAAGGAATTTTAGTATGTTAAGTGCAGTAGCGACTGGCTTGGGTCCTCAGAATGGAAATAGTCATTTAAGCCAGAGGCAGCGGGCAGACCCATGAGTTGGGTCATAAGAAAAGCACAAAGGTTTTCTAGGTAACCTTTTAAAAGGCAGACCAAATTACCTGGCATGAAAGTGGAGAACTTCAAAAATACATAGTATATTAAAGAAATGGTAAGTACTTTGGTATTTCTGAAGTATCAACTGGCTCAGGATAGAGAAGATGATATTGGAGAAGTAAGAAGAGCCAGATCATGTAGGAGAAAAATCTCTTTGGCAGTGGGGAGCCTTTGAAATGTTTTCATTAGGGAAGTAGCATGATCATATTTTTATTTAGAAAGACTGTGTGAACAACAATAGGGGGGAATAGATTGGAAAGGAAAGTCACTGAGAGTCATATTTATTTAAGAAATAAGCAGTAGATAATCTTAGCAAAGTCATAGAGCAGGGTGCTTAAACTAAACATAACCTGCTACCTGTACGAAAACACACAAAGCTATTCCATGTTCTGCAACATCTCTTTCTAGTATCAAGTCCCAACAGTGCAGTGTCTTCATTTCATCTAACCAAATGCAACAACCAGAACTAATCCTGGCATCAGTGGATGCTGCAGTCAGGGTCCCTGCAACTTCTGATGCTTGAAACCCAGGTATGGAGTGAGCATTATATATACCTTTGGTGTTCCAAGGTGTAAAGAGAAACCATGAGGTAGACCAGGCACAGTGGCTCACACCTGTAATTCTAGCCCTTTGGGAGGCTGAGGCAGGAAAGGTGCTTGAGCCCAGGAGTTTGAGACCAGCCTGGGCAACATAGTGAGACCCCATCTCTACAAATAATAACATTATTAACTGAGCATGGTGATATGCGTCTGTGGTCCTGGCTACTTGGGAGGCTGAAGTGAGAGGATCGCTTGAGCCCTGGAGATCGAGGCTGCAGTAAATCATGATCATGCCACTGCCTCCAGCCTGGGCAACAGAGGGAGACCCTGTCTCAAAAAAACAAAATAAAACCAAAAAAAAAAACACGAGGCTGTCTATAAACCCATTGACTTAAGCATTTTATTCTTCATTCTAAAGACATTTTTTTTTTCATAAAATGTCTCTGAAAATTTTGGTTTTCTAGTTCCCTGAAATTTACTAGACCTTCATGAAATCCATCACCAGATGATTGACTTTGCAAACATTTTTTTCTGTCTTTCCATTTAATGGGAAAAATTAGTGTTTGTCACTCTATTCTGATATTTGTACAGAGGAATTCTGCAATGAGGGGACATAGTGAAAAAGGCCCACTTTCCTTGCAAGCTCTTCAGAGTAACATCTGCCTCAGTGGAGACAGCAACAGACTACTGAGTACTTCCCCTAGGCCTCTGGTCCCTACGCACAGCCCTGTTGGTTATCCTGGTTTCTCCATAGGGAAGCAAATGTCAGCCAGCCACATTAGCATCTTTTTTATGTTCATTAAGAAGCCAGAGGATTGTTGGGTCTGAATATCTCTCTAGCTGCATCCTGGGATCTAGGTCTCCCTCAGGGTGGTCTGATTGCCCTGTCCAGTGTACCAGATTCACATAAGTTCCTTGACAGGAAGGGTAATATCTTCACTCATTAAGTAGGTACCTATTGAGCACCTACTATGTTCACCATTCTGGGAACCAGGAATGCAGAAATGAACAAGACAGATGTGGGCCCTGTCCTTAGGGATCTCATACTGTGATGAGCAAGACAGAAAATAAACAAGTAAATGAATGAATACATTGTTTTCAAATCATGATAACGTGATCAGGGAAGGTTTTTCCAACCAGCTGTGATAAAATAAATCTCGGTAAATGTTTGAGTTGAATCTCATTTCACCAAATTGAATCAGACCCCCTCTGCACATCAAACTCAAAGGATAACTTTGAAAATGGCCTTCAACTGTACTGCTGTTTTGTGTACAGCTCTAATCAGCCCATGTGTAATTTGAGACATCGAATGTTTTGGCTATAGGACATCTCTGTGGCATGAAGTTTTTCTGGTACATGGCCATTGACCTGAATACTGCCATGTCTAGCTTTCTGCATCCCAGAAGCAGCTGAGTACCTGTAATATCATCATTTGCAACCACTTTTGTATATATCCATAAGCCAGTAAGCAGAAAGGGTGAATAAGTGGTGATGTTCTTATTGTCTGTATACTTTAGAGTATATGTATGAGCAGATTATGATAAATGGATCTTAATGGAAACCCAGCCAGGGTTATACATACAGTTTAAACATCAGAGGTTTCTGATAGATTATAATAAAACTGAAGGGGAAAAAAATTACACTTTTCCAAGCATTTGTAGAGCTGTGATTCATTTTTTCCATTAAAATATTTATATTAAGTTAAACACTTCATTTGTTATCATCCCAGGACCCTATAAAAGATAAGGAAATTTGTCATTATTTTTCATTAAATTTTGACTCTGTGATAAGTACTGAACTTTCAAAGACATGATGCTGGCCAGAATGAACTTACTATATATTTTTAAATTAACCATTTGTATAACTTTGGTATATATCACATTCTGAATAATTCTGGCCTTGTTGCTATTTTAAACAACTGTTACTTTCCAAAAATATGCATGGTTCACTGTGGAGAACTCTAAATGACAAGTCTGTTGAACTTTCAAAACAATTGTTATCTAGTTTTCTTCCTCACCTATAATATTATTCTGTTATTGATATTATTTTATGCATCTATCAATAAATATGAATATATTTTTAGACACTCTTAGGGTGTAAACATAGAATTGATTCATATCAGTTAAACTAACTCGTTTAAGAATATTACTTATGAGTCCGGGCGCAATGGCTCACGCCTGTAATCTCAGCACTTTGGGAGGCCGAGGTGGGTGAATCACCTGAAGTCAGGAGTTCAAGACGAGCCTGGTCAGCATGGTGAAACACTGTCTCTACTAAAAATACAAAAATTAGCCAGGCGTGGGGGTGGATGCCTATAATCCCAGCTAAAAGGGATGCTGAGGCAGGAGAATCACTTGAACCCGGGAGGCAAAGGTTGTAGTAAGCCGAGATCACGCTATTGCACTCCAGCCTGGGTGACAGTGAGACGCCGTCTCCAAAAAAAAAAAAAGAATATTACTTACGAAAAATTGTTCAAATCATAGGACACAGAAATATATATATTTTTAAAAAACAGTTTTTAGTACAATTAGAGCATAAGGAACAGGATCCAGGTAAAGAAAAGCTTTGTGTGACACCACAGACTTCAGTGTCTCTGGGGCAGCGCTGATGGTTTTCTTGAGCAAATTGCTAACATAATTCATTTGATATTTAGCAGTATTATTAAGCGACCATGTAGAAGATCAGTTAGAGGTGTTTGGTTTGTAGGGCTCTTTGTTTGTTTGTGGAAGTTTGTTTTGTTTGTCTGTATTGGGGAGTGGAAATAGTTGGGGAGTGGAAATAGTAGAGAGACTGGGGAAAGGAGGCCAAGTGGGAAATTATTGCTGAAATACAAGTGCAAAATAGAGAAGGAACAAAAATAGATATGTGGAAATGGAGAAAACAGATATGGGATATTAAGGACATGTGTTGTCCTCTTCTGTTAAATTTAGGTTGGAAAGAAAGGTGTTTATGATAGGAGTAGTTAAATTCCTAATATTCAGTACCATTTAAATCATTTGCATTGTTTAGTGTCCAACTTATTTACACCAGGACTTGAACTGAGTGCTTCGGACTTCTGGTGTGCTGTGTTCTTTGTTTTAATGCTTCATCTATTTCAAAAACAAAAACAAAACTATCTGTTACCTGCATATCATACATATATATGCATATCATGTATAAATACATGGTTCTCCACACTCACACTGCTACTTTGTGAGTAAAAGAAAACAAGGTATCACTAAAAGTTGGAAACATGTCCTTTTTTTTGAGACAAGGTCTCACTCTGTTGACCAGGACCATGGCTCATTGCAGCATTGATGTCCCCCTCTTCCAGGCTTAAGTGACCCTCCCACCTCAGTCTCCCAAGTAGCTGGGACTGCAGGTGCAGGACACCATGCCCAGCTAATTTTTGTATTTTTTGTAGAGGTGGGATCTCACAATGTTGCTCAGGCTGGTGTGGAACTCCTGGGCTCAGCAATTCTTCTGCCTCAGCCTCCCAAAGTGCTGGAATTACAGGGATGAGGAAACATTTTCTACCAGGAATCTTGATGAAATGTGTTTGTAAATAACGAAAACATTTTCAAATTGTTTGAAATGTCTTAGCAGTTAGTGCATTAAAAGAAAAAAAGTTTCAACCAGCCTGTGTTTCCTCATCTTAAACAATGAGTAGCAATGTTTGCAAAATGTGTGTTACATTCTCTCTCTAAATAAAAGTTGATAGTTCCCGTAACACTTGTAACAAACATTTCTGGGTGTCAAAATAATTTGCCTTTCAGGTCATTCCAAAGTAAATTTATTTTTAAAGAATTTACGTGCAGTTGCAAAAAAAGGGCTCCCAAAAAAGAGACGGTTGTTGCACGGCTTCAGTTGGCCTAGAGTTTTCATTTATTCCATGCTCTTTTTTATAAGTGAACTTTTCTCAAAGTTGTGTTTCTCTTCTTAACTTTCATTCATAAAGGTAAGTGTCTTTATTTCCTCGAAAAGCTTTTTTCATTAGAATTAAGCAGAAGTTTTCTTTAAAAAAATCACAGACTTACAGTCTTTTTAGAGCTAGCCAAGATCTCTCATAGATATAATCTAATTTCATGAGTGAGGAAACCGAGGCCCAGGGAGATTTAAGTCACTCAATGTTGAACACTGATCAGTGGGTTGAGTAAAATCTTTAAAAACAGAAATGAATTGAGTTAACATTTATGGTAGGAATTGTTTTAATTTCACAAGTAGTTAGTATTATATAACCGCTATCTACCACTTTGACACAGAGAACTCTTTGAATACCAAAACATTTTTCTTAATAATTAGTGGTAGCCAATATTATCAGACCCTGAGCCAACCACATGCTGACCTAATACAAGACCTGAGGATTTTTCACCCTGAGTCTTGTTCCCTTGCTGCTGCATAACACTACACTCTGCATTAAAATCAGCTAATGAGGATTTTAGAAATTTAACCATGAAGGGAAATAGTCTAGAAGTTATTTATTCATTAGCTACAACCCAAGAAGCAATGTAGCTGAGTAGAACGGGCACAGGTCTTGGGGAGTGGCAGAACTGAGTAGAACAGGCACAGGTCTTGGGGAGTGGCAGTGGGAATAACTTTGGTTCTCATTTGGTCCCTTACTGTATGACCCAGGGCAAATCTCTCAATTTCTCTCTCTCTTTTTTTTTTTACTTATCTGTAAATGGGCACAATTTGGATTCTTATAAGGATTGAGTGAACTTAGATATACATAGTGCCTGGCACATAATACACATTTGACAACAGGTAACTAGAAGTACTTGATTGAGAGTGTCTGTAAGTAAACCAGTGCGTGCCAAGTTGAGGTCAATAGATGTGGGATGAGATGTTTCGCAGTCATTGCTGGGTCTTAGTTTGTGACTTTGTTATAATTCTGTGCTGTGGCATAGATGCCATAGCCAGATATCTCACTTTTCAGTGTGACCCTGCTAAGAATCTGAACACTTCTGCAGGACAGAAACTGATGCATTAACAAATTGTCTCCTTGCCCAACGAAGTTTGCCTCTATCACCGGCCTTTTTATTTTCCTTTTTTTTTTTTTTTTCCTCTCACAACAACTGCTTCCCTGTTTTTGGAACCACATAGTGAATTCGGGTTAGTAATTTCACTTTCCAAGATCTCAGATACTTGAGAAGTTAGCAGATATTTTTTCCATTTTAGATTTAAGTACCAAAAAAGTAAAAACAAACAAGCAAACAAACAAAACTGTGCAGCCATCAGCTGAGGGGTACATTCAGCATTTGTGATTATTTCAAAGCAAAAGTCCATTGACTAGATCCATGTGACTTCTGATTTGAGGATCAGTTTTTTAAAAACATCACCAACCAGACTTGTAAAGTTTGCAGAAACTGCCGACAGACCCGAAATGCTAAAGGTTGTAATCTCTTGAAAGGAGTTGGTTGATTTTCCTGTTGCCCCTCCTATCAACTTTAACCTCCAACCTTCTCCAGCATGTATCACTACAAATAAAACTGCTGAGGTTTGACAAGAGGATATAAAGTCAGTAGGCCATCGCACAGAGACAGCCACGTGATTTTCTTCAACCTGAAATGAAGGCTCTTTAAGTTGGGCTTTTCAATAGGAAGTCATAAACACTCACTCGTATCGCTTTAAGTTTTAATAATTACTGTTCCAAAAAACCCCAGAAATATACATATTAAATGATGTTTGACAACTGGAATTTAGTGGTTTTGTTATTGGTTGTCTTAGACCATTAACTTGGATTTCTGTTCTTAATTTTAATGTATACGATTTCAAGCAAGCAGCATATGATACTGATATAAACATGGCATTTGTATACTGCATTATAAATGAATTTTTAGCTTGTGATTAAGACAAACCAGATGACCTAAAGCAAACAATGTGTTGGTATTGCTCTGGTGACTTAAAAATAATGCCCTGACCTGGATTCACCTGCAGTGCCTTTTGTCCTTTAGAGAACTGGAGACACGTGGCTCACGTAGCACTTCCGCTCACCAAGGTTTCTGAACTTTCATTGTTTTTATAGATTTCTCAAATAATTCCACTGTCTGTGGAAATTATTCATCCTATACTAGATAAATGCTGTGTTAAGAAGTCTGTGGCACGCTTCAGTCTGAACTCAGTGGCTGTCTGTTACCAGATCTGGTCTGAACATCAGGAATGGGGTGCTGTTGCATCAATAATTGGACAGTGGTTCTTCTTTTAAAAAGCAAAAACAAAAAAGCACATCTGTGTTTTTGTCAAGGCCAGCTTAGTAGCTCCCAAACAACCATAGAGAGGTGGTCTGCCTGTCCAAATGTTCATTTTTCACGCTCATTTTCTCCTATCCATGTTATTTTCACCAGACCACTGAGTGAAGGGAGGACACGGGTTATGAAAGAGCGGTGAGTCTGAGAAGCAAAGGGCGTCGGTGCTGGAGATGGAGGACAGGGCACCGATTAGGTCCTCCTGACCTCTTGGCCACCTTGGCAGAATCCTGCCTTTTAGCAGAGCCAGGATACCTTCTGCAAAGGCATTGTGTTGCCATAATGAAAATGCCTCTGTATGAAACTCCAGACCCAGTCACCGGAGCGCTTCACTTCTTCCTGAGGAGGATCCAGAGCCTAGAAAAGATTTGTGTGTTGGTTTGTGATGGTGGTGTGGTGGGGGCACAGGAGACGGGAAGAAGAAACAAACCCAAACCAAAAAACCTATGTGGGTATGACTGTCATCTTCGAATTCTTAGGGAACTACATTTTTATATGTTCCTTATTGCAAAAAAACGGTTGAGACCATTAGGAACCTCCTTCATTCGTCCCATGAAACAGTGCAATTTTATTCAATAAATCCAAATGCTAATTATTAACAACAGCTGTAGTAATCCATTGCATTTATACAGCACCTCCACATTCATTATTTTGTTTGAGCCTAACCACTCCTCTAGGAAACTGAAAGCATTTTAATGGATAGGAAAGCAAAGGCTCAGAAAGATAAAGTGACTTGTCCAATATTACTTCATTAGTGTCAGAGCCAGGATTGCAGCATTTACTGTGTACCAGGCATCCAAGGATGGGTTTGATTCCTTCCCTCAAGGTGCTTACAGTCTGTGACATATGGGGTGGAGGGTGATGTTCCTGATAGCTCAATGCTTAACGTACAACAGGAGGGAGCACTGAGGCAGTGGCCTGAGCTCAGTCTGTGGGAGGAGACCGGTTTTGATCCAGCTGCCCTCATTCCAAGTAAGGGCAGTTTTCAATTGGCCAAACAGTTAATTGAAAAATATCTTCTGATTTTAGCTCACTGAATTGCCAGTTCCAAAACTTTTTAAGACATAATTATACTATAATTATAAAAGAGGCCAACCTTATAACTCAACTGCTGAAAAGGGAGACGAAGACCTACAAAACGTATTAGGAAAAGCCGTGGAGATCAGCAGGTGGAGGTGTGGGGTGAGCTGGGTGAACAACGCAAACGTAAAAAGGCAAACAAACAAAATTACAGGTAGGACAAGAAAAAGCATCTGTCTTTTTGCTAATATGAAATGCCAAAACCTCCCCTTTTATTTTTTATATTTTTGTCTTGAAACATTAAAATAAGTGAACAACCCTCTAACACTTAGATGGTACTGGGTAAGGGAAAGCCAGTCTGATTGATTTAGGTATTTTAAATTTTAGATCAATATCCACAACATGAATATTTTTACTACTTGACTAAGTGTTCTTTATGTTTGCTTTTACCAAGAACTTCATTCCTTCTATTTTTATTGATAAAAGCATGTATATGTGCTTTTAATATGTATATACACACACACACATATATATATGGTACTAATAGAGTTAAAATAGGCATACATGTGGTTGAGAAGAGATTTAATTCATCTCTTAATGCCATGGAAATTCCTGGGTATTCCTGAAAACAATGTTCTGAAAGCACCCAGTGTTGCCTAGGTGGAAGGTTCTAAAGTTAATTTGAGAGCCAGGCACAGCAGCTCACGCGTATAATCCCAGCACTTTAGGAGGCCAAGGTGTGTGGATTGCTTGAGGCCAGGAACTTGAGACCAGCCTGGGCAACATGGTGAGACCCCATCCCTACTAAAAATACAAAAGAAAAAAAAATTGCTATTTGCAACCATTGTGGAAGACTGTACAGTGTGGCAATTACTCCAAGATCTAGAAGTAGAAATACCATTTGACCCAGCAATCTTATTACTGGCCCAATTATCTTATTATTGGGTATACAACCAAAGGAATGTTAATCATTCTGTTATAAAGATACATGCATGCATATGTTCATTGCAGCACTATTCACAATAGCAAAGACATGGAATCAACCCAAATGCCCATCAGTGATACACTGAATAAAGGAAATATGGTACATATGCACCATAGAATACTATGTAGCCATAAAAAGGAACAAGGTCATGTCCTCTGCAGGGTCATGGATGGAGCTGGAAGCCGTTACGCTCAGCAAACTAACGCAGGAACAGAAAACCAAACACTGCATGTTGTCGCTTATAAGTGGGACCTGAACAATAGAAACACATAGACACATGGGTGGGGGAACAACACACACTGGGGCCTTTTGGGGATGCAGTGGACGGAGAGCATCAGGAAGAATAGCTAATGGATGCTGGGCTTAATACTTAGGTGATGGGTCGATAGGTGCAGCAAACCACCGTGGCACACATTTACCTGTGTAACAAACCTGAACATCCTGTACATGTACCCAGAACGCGAAATAAAAGTTGACGAATAAAAACGATTTACTTTCATTTAAATAGCTTAGACTCTGTTGCCCATAAATATAGGGCACTAAACTTTTATTTATGCAGGATAACTGTCCTGGTTATGCCAAAAGATATATTAAATAGAATGTTTAATTGATGACTCAAAACATACCTCAAGTTTATCTTTCTAGAACTTTGTATATCAGAAGGTGAAGCAGATGATGCTGCATCTGTCTGCATTGACTCTCAGATGTTTGGTCTGTTGACTTTCTCCTCCCAATGACAAAGAATGCTATCTGTTTTGAAGAGACTTTTAGTTTGTTGAATATTGGTGGTGAGTGGAAAATGAATATAAATGAAATATCGTATTGCTGGAGCAGGTACAAGGGATGTGAATGAAAGCTTCCTGTTTTATGGGCTGCTGAGAGGTGAGAGCTCTTAAAAAGCAGTCTGCTAAGTGATCCCAAGCTAATGCAAATTAACAGTTGTTTTCTTTCAGAACTGTGTGACTGAATAAACATTTACCATTTGTTTCATTTCTACTCATCTCTTAAAACAGTTGCTACAGGTCTTAATAGTAAGACTCGAAACATATAATGTATTAGCCTTGGCACATCAAAATATTGTTCATCTTCCAAACTTGAGATATTCCAGTTTGGCTTCTCACTGAGTTTATAATGTTCTGAGGGTATGTATCTAAAAACGCATCTTACTAATCTCCTGGAATTGATTTTTTTTTAAAAGTCCCTGTAACTTGTCACTATTCCCAGCTTAAACACGGTCTGTCAATTGCGAGACTGATGGGCATTGTGGTACGTTTCAATCTTAGGAGGGGCCTGAATAAGCAGTTTAAACCATTAAATAGTATTTTGGAAGAGAGACGTATGATATTTGTGCAAAATAATAATGAGGTTAAAAATGGAATTTCAGCCTTTGCTGAAAGAGCAACGCCTCCTGCTTTTTTGTGCAAGCCTTTCACATGATTCAGTGTGATCACCTTTTCTCATAGCACCACTGTGGCAACTGTGAGGGGTAAAGAATTTCAGCAATTGAACAACAGTATCAAATACATTCATTTTAGGAACTCTCCTAAAGGTTTATTCCAATCGTTAACATTCCTGGAGCTGGTGGTGTCTGCCAAGTGCTCTGCGCTAGTTCACAGGCAGCAAATTTAGCATGACAAAGTTGCTCCCATTTTGCAAATGGGAAACCTGGAGCCCCAAATGGAGTCTCTCACAGTAAACTGCAGAATGGAGATGAGATCCTAGAGATACAGTATAAGGGATTATCTGGGATCATGTTGATGGTTTGCAGTTGCCTTTGTACGGCTACCGGGTTAGATCATTCTTGGCAAGTTTGGTGAATTAGTATCCTATTCCTGAGTCCCATTTCAATACCTAGCTTGGAACTCTTCCACTCCCTGAAAACTTCCATTGAAATTTTTATCAATGGTATTTGCATAGACAAAATGGAATCAAACTATTGACATGTACTTTTTTATTAAAAAAAAAAAAAAAAGCAAATTTCTGTGAATGGTTTGTCAGTGGAGATAATTTAGCCAAAGGCACCTGTCTTCTCTGAGGACTCTGCCTGAAAAGACTTTTAGGGGGAGCTTGGTGAATGTTTTGTCTTTAAAATAAAGCTGTTTTTGAGGTATAAGAGAAGCTTGGTTTTTGAAATGGCACAATGAATAACAAAAGCCCCTTTTCACCCCCCAAAAAAGGACTAAAAAGAACATTTGTTAGACTCTTGGGGAAGAATTGTGCTGTTAACATAAAAGTCTAGATACAAGAAAAGGGAAAATTGGAAGAAGAGGAGGAGCAGGTAATGCTGGGGAAATGCTGGACCCTGAAAGCAACTTGTTTTACAAAGATGATTACACTGAAGCTTGGATTCGAAACGTAAGAAAGCGTGCTTATAGTGAATAAAACAGCTCGAAGATCAAACTTAGCAGAGCATCCTGCTGTTGAGGACACACTTATGCACGGGTATGCATGTGCTTCTCTCTCCATTCCTTCCTCTTCTCCCACAGTGGCCCTGTAAGTATATTCTGGCAGACAAGTGGCCAATAACCAGTCTTCATAATGGAGGTCAGGTGATTTGTATTTCTGGATTTTTAGAATAGACAGGCTTGTCATTGATTTGAAGATGGAAAGTACAGTATTTCACTACCCCCTGTCATTTAGTGGATGTGGTTCTTGAGTATGTCCAGAATTATATAGTTGTTAATGCGTCTTGAGCCCTGACCTAAACTGTAGATGAGAAGGCTCTTTAAATATTAAAATGCAGAACAAACAGAATTGCTTATGCAGTAGGAAAGTGCACAGTATTCAAAAGTCAGGCCTAATCTTTTTGTGGGGCAGCTATTGTGAATGCTACATTTCTGTCCATAATATAACTCTTTTGAAAACTCCCTCTTTAACAAAAATACTAAGTTGATGGTCTCTCTTAAAAAAAAAAAAAAAAAAAGTCAAGCAACAGAGTATATAACTTCAGAGTTATCAAATATGTTTATGCCCCTTACATGTCAAAGTTTAAGTGCTATGTTTTGTATATACAGTCATCATGATATTTGAAAAGGCCGTAAGAAAAACTATTATATAATTGTTTTTAAAGAATGTAGAAGCAAGGATAAAAAGGCCTTTAGAAACTAGAGAACAGTATTAACAATTATAGTACCTGAAGTCAAGCTGCAAAATTCTGTCCTAATTATTGGTGATGATTAATTAAGCGTAAAGTTACACGCCTTGAAAGAATTTCAGAATTATTTTTCTTTGATATTTCTACCCCAAAAAAGGCCCACCCCATCATTTTCTATTTTAGCAGTTTCCACAACTTAAACATTAAATTCTTATTGTTTGATTTCTGTTATATTAGTAGTGTGTGTTTTGCAATTCTAATCTTCACGTTTTTCTTTCTTTATCACTGAAGTAGGCCTTTTGAAGCTGGGAAATTTTTCATAGCAATATTGACAGTGTTCACATTTGCATGATGACAGCCAAGGAATGGAGCAGTAATTTTTGAAATTGCAGAAGTATTTAGAACACTGATAAAAGCTGAAATATATTTTTGATGGATTGAAGTTAAGCATACATGATTTTTCCTGCTGTCAAAAGGCTCTGAATTTAGTGAATATTTGCCTGCTGTGAGAATGCAAGATTAACATCACAACCATCACCCGGGCACCCAAACCCTGCAATTTAATAGCTTTTTAGGTTCTTTCCTTTTTCTAAACAGCAATTAATCTCATTTTAGTACAATTTTCTCGTTTCTGAAGTCGCTCATTGAATCGCTGTTTTGTTCATATTTGGCTTCAGCTCCTCTGCATAGCCATTAAAGTCCCAATTAATGTCACCTTTAGCTGAAGAGTACTCATTTTTATTGAGAAAATGACAGTTGCTGCCATGAGTAGTGCAGTGTAATATACATTAATTGCCCT